ATATATATATATATATATAACAATTATTACCTTGTATCACTTGCCCCTCCTACTAGATTGTAAGCTCTCACGAGCAGGGCCCTCCTAACCCTATTGTACGGAAACTGTATCACATTGTAAATAGTACCGTATTTGCCGGCGTATAAGACGGGTTTTGAGACCTAAAAACATCGCCCGAAAATCGGTGGTCGTCTTATACGCCGGGTATGGATGTTGTATACTGTATACTGTATGTAGCTTCGGCTACATACAGTATACCACGCTGAGCCAATCACGGCAGGCTTTGTATTAATCAATACAAAGCCTGTATTCATTAATACAAAGCCTGCTGTGATTGGCTCAGCACAGTTTACTGTATGTAGCCGAAGCTACCGTACATACAGTATTACCACACATCCAGCGGGCTGACAGAATAGCCTCCCTGGCGGTCTGAAGATTTTATTTTTTCGTTTTTTGTTCTATTTTTTTTAACTTTTAAAATTGCCGCCGGTTCCGCCCCCCTGCGACGCGGACGCTCGCAAGGGACGGAAGACGGAGGACACAGCGGGGATCGTGGACAAGGTAAGAGACTGTAATCCCAAGTGTGGCTCGGGGTTACCGCTTATGGTACTGAAAATTAACCCCGAGCCACACTCGGGAATACCGCCATGGATGTTAGTGGGTGCATTAGACATTATTTTGGGCTATACTCCAAAACCTATATTTTAACACAAAAAGTAGGGGGTCGTCTTATACGCCGAGTCGTCTTATATGCCGGCAAATACGGTATTTTACCTATACTGTTCTCTTTTTGTCCTCGCTCCAGGCCACTATGTTTGATAGAAGGATTCCGCCCTACAGTCCAAACCGGGTTCAGCCTATCCCGGCTTGGATGTCCCCACTTCTGTCAGTAAATCTCCTTGGGAGAGGGATCCCATGGTGCAGGGATATCTTAGAACAGAATAAACTTCTGTTTGGTATTGTTAGGGTGAGTGGGTGGCTCATGCTGTATTACAATCAGCCATTTATTTTTGCTTTTTTGGTCAGCCTAAATTGTTTAGCTTTCTGTTCTGTGAGCCAGGAGAGCAATGGCAGCTGACCGTCTAGCTACGGGAGGCTGTTGTGAACGACGCATGTGCGGGCGTCCGCGTGTCTCGGTCGCCATGACAGTGGCGGGACGCTCGCCGGCCAGCCTCCTCTGTGCGGGGGTTTCTATGGTGGCGGCGGGATGCGATTTTGCCGCGTTTAGGGCATCTGAAAGCTCCGATTGATTGAACAGCAAAAGGAGGGGGGTGGAGACTGGAAGTCACCTGGCCAGTACGTTCTTAACGAGGTGAGTCCTGCCTGCCTCTTCATTAGCTGTTGCCAGATCGCTGATCTCTGGTTGGTATCCTGCTGCTGACTGGGGTAAGTTAAAGGCAGTCCTTAGCCATAAGGGACTGTTGTTTTTTGGGATATGATTTTTCAATTATCCTATGTTTTTATTGTAGTTGTCTTAGATTCAGCATGAGTTCCCCTCTCCCAGTGGCTGATGCACTGAAGCCTTCTGAAAGGTAGGGAGGCGCCGTGGGCCCTCTAGTGGATAAAAAGAGAGCGGTCATCCAAATACAATATATGTTATATGTATTTTTTATTTTCCCCGAGTAAGGTCCTAGTCATAAAATATACAAAAAACGGAAGGACAGGAGGCGGTCTTCATCCTCTGAGTCCCTTCAGGAGATTTCAGCTAGTGGCCACAGATCTCATCACCATAGATCGGACCTACCTTCCTTGTTGCAGTCCTCAAAAGATCGGGGGTTACCTGGATCATGTTGGGCATGCTCGGCACAGGCTCTACCAGGAAAGATATGTCAGCAATGCCTACAGGAAGTGACAGGGAATCAGAATCTCTGGATATAAAGTCTTGTATAAAACAAGCGGTTCAGGAGAGTCTGCAGGATTATCTTCCTTCTGGGCCCTCGACATCCCGGGCAGCAACGACAAGGTCTAGACCTTTCAGATCAGTGGGTATCTCGGATGAGGGTGAAGTGTTTTCAGACGGATCTTCAGAGGCGGAGGAACAGCGGTAGATGCAGTGCTCCAAAGATTGGCTCGTCACGTGTCTCTTCCTCTGGTTAATTTGCAGCGTTCAAAGACAGTGCTCGCATTGAGGCGGCTCTGGAAGAGTTAACATTGTCGGCTGATTTGTTGGCGGATTTAGTTCGCCTCTCTTCAAAATGAATGGCTCAATCCGTTACAGCAAAGAGAGCCTTGTGGTTGAGGCACTGGACGGCAGATGCAGCCTCCAAGCAAGCGCTATGTTCAATACCATAGAACGGCAAGACATTATTTGGGAAAATGCTCGAAGAAGCAATCAAGAGGGTAATAGGGGTAACAGGGGGCAAGTCGGGACTTTTGCCTCAGGCTAATAGACGAAGACAGCAGTCCTTTCGCCCCAGTCAGGCGGCTCAGAAATATCGAGATGTGAGATCATATAAGCCGGCAGACAGTTTCCCAGATCACAGTGGAGAGGGGCACAAAAGTTCTCTGTTGCAAGATGTTAAGGTGAAGGCTGGACAATCGAGTAAGGCTACAACAAAGCAATTCTGAAGGTGCGTCCACCAAAGTTTCTCCAGTGGGGGCAAGATTGCTCCTTTTCCGACATGCCTGGGTGGCGGAGATTGTAGATTTGTGGGTCAAGAGGATTGTGAGCACAGGATATCAGATAGAATTCAAAAAGTCTCCTCCTCCATGGTTCGTACAGACCTCGGAACCACAAGATCCATTGAATAAAAAATATTTGTTCAAATACGTAAGGAACTATTGGTCAAAAGAGCTGTTGTTCCAGTTCCTGTAGAAGAAGTAGGTCACCGGTTCTACTCCCCGATTTTTCTGGTGACGAAGTCTTTGGGGGAATTCAGGCCAGTTTTAGACCTAAAGAAGCTAAATGCCTATGTAAAAGTGGATTTGTTCAGAATGGAATAAGTTCAAACGATTTTTTTCCATTGTGGAAAGAGGGGAATGGATGGTTTCCATAGACCTAGAAGATGTGTATTTGCATGTACCAATAGCTCTTTGCCATCAGAAATCTCTCCGATTTGCGATAGCAGGAATGCATTTTCAGTTCTGAGTCCTACCGTTTGGCCTCTCATCAGCACTATTTTTTCAAAACTATTGCTATCCCTCATAGCTCTCCTTTGCACGCAAGGGATAAAAATATTCCATCCCTGTTCATCCATCTAGATCAGGTAATGAAGACATTGCAGCGTTTTGTATGGTTGATAAATTACAAAAAAAGCCAGCTGAAACCTGCGCAGAGAATGGAATACTTGGGGGTTGTCCTGGATTAATTCCTAGCAAGAGTTTTTCTTCCAGATCGACGCAGGAAGGAAATAGT